TCTGCCTTGAGGTCCAGCAGCCTCAAAGACTTGAGAAGATTATCCAAAGAAGATCCGTCAGCTGGTGATGCATGCAGGGGAGATGGGATGCCACAGGGAAGAGAGTGTCCATCCAGAAATCACTGCTCCTTTAAATCCTCTGTCCACAGTGTGCAGGGACAGAGTGAAAAAAAACTGAAACCAGTCAGATTGCTTGGGAGGCACTTGCAAAAACTCCTGTGTGAAGATAATGGCCTGGATTCATTCAACATAGACTTTGGGAACATGTGAATAGAAAAGCATTTATTAAGTGCTTACTGTGTGCACAACACAGTGTACTAAGTTCTGGGGATACAAGTAGTATACAAACAGTCCCCGCCCTCAAGGAGCTTACATTCTAATGTGTGTGTGTGTAGGGGAAGGGAAATGAACACATATGGGAGAGTTCAGTTGCAGGGCAGGAGAAATCACCCAGGAATCCACACGGTGCTAAAGCAAAGCAGGTGGTAATGCAGCTTTTCTGCAGGCTTTTCTATTCATAAAACCATCTGTTTCTGCTGTTGACACCAATGGTGGTGGTGGTGAAAGGCGTCTGGGTCTTCAGGAGCTGTGCTTGCTGATGACGCTTGGGCAGCTGCAAAATCTGCTGGGGCCAAGGCCAGTTCCCTTCTCCACCAGAGCATCCCCTGGACCATGGCTCTGAGTCAGGCTGAAGCAGGGATCAGTGATCTGGGGCACGCTGCTATGCTCAGAACTCGTAGGCATAAGGTCTGGAGAGGAAGTGGTGACAGTGGTCTGAGCCACCTGGCACGTGCTGCCTCTTCAACACGTCTTGTGGCTTCCGCTAGCACAGTTTGCCTGCCCCGTGGTGGTGGGACCCTTTCTCTGCAGGCACTGCGCCCCTGGATGATGGCCGCTAGGGCTAGCTGCATGCAGGACTGGGTGTCTAGGAGCACTACTGTTCCCAGGGCTCTTAGTTTGAGGGTCTAGGCCAGTCTAAGGAGGGTGGTTGTCCAGGTGGAGGCAGGGGTTTGCCTTACCTGGCACATGCCAGCCTCTGGCTCAACCTCAGCGAGGCTGATCTGCCAGCCCAGCCACTGGCAGTGGGCTGGTGGTTGGACTCATGCTACATGCCCAGTATTTAGAAGGCTGTGACGTGATAAAGACAAGAAGCTGGAGGGCAGCTTATCTCTGTAATCTTAGTTCCATTATCACAAAGTTGTGAAACAAAACTGCAAATAGGTTGAGTGCTGTATAAGGCCGCTGTTCTGCTCTCGTTGAAGTTGACATATTGTCATTCTGCCTTCTTCACCCCCCCTTTCCTCACGGGAGCCTCAAAGACAATAGTTAGTTATTGACAAAAAATTGTCAATTTTTGACAATCATTTGCCTCCTTCCTTTCTTTCTCCAGTATCCTTGAAGAATCCCAGGAAATCTGAACTGCCCAGGGGAGATGGGCATGGACACTGCCAGCCTAGGCCGTACAATCTCGGTCTCTCTGGACCACATGATTGTCAAGTTATCTCTCCTCAAATACTTCCTTCCCTTTTTAATTTTCTCTCTGGCTAATTCAGGAGTCTGATGCTTCTAGGGAATAATATGCCTAATTTTATGATTGACAGACTGTCTACCATGAAACTGATCTTTACTTAATATGAAATAATGGGCCTGAAAGAGTTTTGAAAAGTATTCATGTAAGATGTCATTAGAATAATTGTGATTACAAGGCATTTTAATCAAAATATAATTCCTTAACTGACTTTTATTGCTGTTCCCCTTTGAAGGTGTTATTAAAAAACAAGGAATGGAATTTACTCTGCAACTCTGTAAACACTCCCAACATCAGCTGTCCTATTGCCAAAGAGACAGTGTATCCTATTACAGGGCTTACAGCAACAAGGTGGGACAGACAGGTTTCCGGGACACCTGATCAACGGGAAGGATGATAAAACTAGATTTGAAAAGTACATATTTTTGGGGCAGCTAGGTGGCGCAGTGAACAGAGCGCTGGCCTTGGAGTCAGGGAAACCTGAGTTGAAATCCAGCCTCAGACACTTAACATTCACTGGCTGTGTGACCCTGGGTAAGTCACTTAACCCCACTGCCTAGCCCCCCCCCCCCAAAAAAGTGCATGTTTTCTAGTTGTGGGTATTTATATCGGGGGGTACCTTACTTTGTGTGGCTGTTGCTCAGTCATATCTAACTCTTTGTGACCCCATTTGGGGTTTTCTTGGCAAAGACACTGGAGTGCTTCACCATCTCCTTCTCCAATGGATTAAGACAAACAGAGGTTAAGTGACTTGCCCAGGGTCACACAGCTAGTAAGTGTCTGAGGCTGGATTTGAACTCATGTCTTCCTGACTCCAGGGCCAGTGCTCTTTCCACCTACCACACCATCCAGCTGCTCACCTTACTTTATGCAGTATGTACAATTCTGAAAATTGTGTGGAAATAAAATTTTAATATGCAAATTCGATTTTAAAAGCTAGTTAAAAAAGAGATGTCAGTAAAACCTGTGTTGTTGTTCACTGAGGGTTCTGTTAAATGCCTTCTTATTTTTTTTTTAAATTAGCATAAACTTAATAACAACCTTAAAAAATACAAGAGAAATAAGGAATAAAATACCAAACATAGTCATAAAATCTAAACTTTTTACATTAAAAAAAAAGACTAAGCTTTAACAAAATAGTAGCAGGTAATTTGTCCCCATCTCTCTCTCTCTCTCTCTCTCTCTCTCTCTCTCTTTTTTTTTTTTTTTTTGAAACTTACAAAGTTTTGGTGCTGTTGCTTAAAAATAAAATCTTATGATCTATTTGTTTTTCTAACTCTACTTTCTTCGTTGTGGATCACTTTGTGGTCTTCCCATATTTCTCTGTATTCTATTACATTGATATGCCCTCATTTCTTTAGCCGTTCCCCACTAATTATATGTACAGACTGTTTCTAGTTTCTTCAAAATTATAAATAAAAAAGCTGTGAATATTTTTGTATATATAAGTCATTTTTTCCTTTTCCCCATCTTTAGGATGTAGTATTTGTACAAAGTGGAGTCATTGGGTCAAAGGGTAAGATTAATTTGGTAGCTTATTATATATTGTTAGATCATACTCCAAGAAGGTGGTACCAACTTAGAATTTGTCTAAGCTGGCAACAGGATGCCTCTATCTACCTGTATCAGCCAATAAATGGAAAGAACAATGCAATGGAAAGAACATTAAATTTGTAATAACAGGACCCGGGATTAGCTCTTAGCTCTACCACTTTCTACCGGTGAGACTTTGGGAAATCATTTGACCTTCATGAACATCAGTTTCTTAATCAACTGGTGGGGGAGAGGGGGAGAGAATCAGGGCTGTGTGTGGGGGTATAAAACTTAAATAGAAATAGATCCCTGTTGATATATATTGACTTAGAAAACCACAAATTAACATGTTGCGTTTTTTTTTACTGTATTAATATCTATGTTGTGCTGTATTTTTATTCATTTTGTTAAACATTTCCCTACATTTTAATTTGTTTCACTCACAGTTAGGTGGCGCCATAGTCTTCAGAGCGCTGGGCCAGAAGTCTGGAAGACTGGAGTTCAAATGCTACTCAAACACTTTTTAACTAGCAGTGACCCTGGGCAGGTCACTTTACCTCTAACTTTCTTCATCTGTAAAATGGGGATAATAGCACATACCTCCCAGGGTTGGTGTGAGGATCAAACAAGATGATAACTGTAAAGCGCTTTAGCACAGTGACTGGCACATGGTAGGTGCTAGGAAATGGTTCTTCCATCCCTCTTCCCCTCTCTAGGACCAACCCTGGTCATTGCAGTTAATTTGAATTCAGTTGCCTTTTAAAATAGTTTTCATTTAAATTATTCTAGTCATTTTGTGTACTATTCTTTTGATTCTGGGTTGTTGTTTTTTTTGTTCTGTATTACTTCACGTAAGTCTTCTCATGTTTCTTTGAAATCCTTATATTCATCATTTCTTACAGGGCTGTAGTAATATCCCTTTACATCCATATACCATAATTTGTCCAGCCATTTCTCCAATCAAGGGGTATTCACTTTGTTTCCAGTTTTTTGCAACCGCAAAGGGACTGCTATGAAAATCTGGGTATATATGAAACCCTTTAATCATATTCATGACTTATTGCCATAGCTAAGGTTTCTCAAACAACTAGAGAGGGATTCCCTATGAGGGTGAAGTCCTCTGATGCTCCTGTTTATGGCTGACGCTCTAACTGCACTGTTAAATTCTTGGAGTTCCCAACTGGAATCTCTTCGGATTTCTTGCACCACTTCATTTGCTAATTCTGAAATTTCAGTGTGCACTTCTGGGACTTTTTGCTGTACCTCTCTGACTACATAATATTTTTATTGTATCATAGCTCTTATTCAACACAGTCATTTCTTTTGGCTAAGTTTTAATTTTCTTGCGAGAACTTGTAGCAATTATTCCTTTTTGGCATTTTTATTATTACTTTCAAGATGTCTTTGCCATCTTCCCAGAAGCCCTCAGAAGAATCCTTTTATAGTAAGAATAATCAAATCCTCCTTTATCTTTATTGCAAAAATGGATCTCATGGTTTTTTTTTTTTTTAAGGTAGATAGGACGGGGCTGGGTCTGGGATTTCATCGGTGCAAGATACTCCTGAGGATTCCTCACCTTCACCCAGGCAGGATGACACTTTCTCTGTAACCTAGAATCTTGAAGAACTCTCTGGGGTCATTGAAAGGTTAAATCTAGGACCATGGAGCCAGTATGTGTCCAGGCACGGCTTGGACTTAGGTCTTCATTGCTCCAAAGATGGTTCTCTATGCACTATGCCAAACTACCACTAAATTGTAAGATTATTCCTGTAATTTAGAATAAATCCTCGTTAGGACAATTTAGTGAAACAAAATTCCAGTAAATAGAATGAATCTTTATAGTTTGAAAGTAATGACTTAAACGACAATTACTTAAATAGTATTTAGGCTATTAAAAGGCTATTCAATAAACTCTAAATCATAAAGGATCAATACTTACTATTATTTTCTTACAGTCCTGCCCTCTGCATAGCTCTGTATAAGTAGAGTATTGGCCATATATAATCCAACTTCCAATAAATACTGCCAGCCAGGAAAAGAAAAGGTATTTCATCCGCATGTATGAAAAGCGAGCCTGTGTATATAAAAGAAGAGGGAACAACACTCATTTATTCAGCAGGGACAGTCGGCTTTAGCTGGGCTACAACATGATTTCCTCTCTACTCTGGAAGGGTTCAGGCAGTCAGTTGGGATACATTCTAGTCTTTCATATGGCGATTCTAGGACAAAGTGCACTTTCAATGACAGCAAACAGAGCTGGGGTTAGGAAAAGGAAGCCCCTCGGCCCCGACAAAGAAAAGGGGACAAAATTCTCTTTGAATCATACAGTCTTTCAAAGACCATCATCAGCCAAAGGTATTATTTATTAAGCATGAACATGAAGCATCAGGCTGGGCTGGGCACCAGGCTAGGTCAGGTATAGAGATACAGTCCTGGCTTTCTAAGCACTTACAAAGGGCTGTTTCAAACAAGGATCTTAGGGGATTTGTGAATAAGGATGATAATACCACTTTTGTAGAAACAGGGACAGGGAATCTGGTTGTGTGCCAAAGGTCTCATGCAGCAGAATCAGAATTAGAAATGGGATCATGTATTCCTATCCCTTCATTACATTTGCCAAGGCTACTTTTTTTTTTATTCAATCATCTAATGCTTGACCTAGATGTGATGTTAGAAACAGTAGAAACATTAAAATTTAAAGCAGGAAGGATAGAGAAAGGAGGGCCAAGGTGAATTCAGAATAAACGGTTCCTTGCACATCAAACTTTGGGAGTCATACAATGAATGGCTTTGCTTCTAGAGATACTCAGCTTGGGGAATTTTGGACCTCTGGGGCCTTTGGCAAACTCACACCAACTGACAGCTGCACAACAGATCACTTGTCAAGGGCCTTGGGCATTGGTTTCCTGCTAGTATCAAGATAAGCATCTCATTTCCTCCAAAAACTCTTTTGCAGCAGTTAAATAACGGGGTCACAATCTTGGCCCTAAAGAAGTACCCCTTCCTTCCATTCTTGCAGAGATTGGGGACGATGGGTGTGCCACCCACAGACTGGGCTGACGTTATTTTGTTCGGCTGGATTGTTTTTAATCTTTCTTTTTTGAATTCTCTGTTATAGGAATGGCTTGCTGGATGGGGAGGAGAGATATATTTAGAAATAAAGGTGAGAGAAAAACAAAATCAATAACAACTTAAAAAATAAACAGGGTTAAGCAAAATGTAAATTAACACAGAGCCCTTTACCATGGTTTAAAGTTGTTTCTAAGGGTGACTTGGGCATGTTGTCACCATGTTTTCTAAAAGTCAGAATGCAAAGGGATGTTAGCTTTTTGGGGTTTTTTGAGGCTGTTATTTTGGCTCTGAGTTATCATATTTCACATGACTCTGGTATATAAGATCTTGAAATAAGAATCATCTTAATTTAAGTTGCCAGAACTAGGAAAGAGACCCTGCTAAGGAATTTTAATCCCCTATACCATCAAAATGGTCTGTACATGTGTCAAATAGTTTGTATAATATATTGAATGCCAAACATACTCTTGCCAAAAAAACTATTTTATGGAAAACTCACACAGGCAAGCACTCTCATGGTAGTCAGAAAAAATGATACAAGGACACTCTCAAGGTCTCTCTTAACTTTGGAATTGATTGTGAGACATAGGACAGCCTGGCACAGTATGGTGTGCCCTCATCAGGGAAGATGCTATGCTCTATGAACAAAGCAGAATTGAAGTAACTCAAATGAAATGCAAAATGCGAAGATTTAGCGAAACCATCCCAAACCTCTGTGGTAGAGCATTCCGAGCTTCGAGCTCCTATTGGTCTGATCAGCCACTGTCGGACACACTGTAACTTGACTCTAACACAGTGATGTCATTTTGGTCCTCTTCGAGAACAAAGGAGACCAACCAACCAACACATGTCTATTTATATGTATGTATGGGTATTTTGCTTTAATGTAGGGGCAAATCAACATAAAAAAATTAAACAGCAAGGAAGAAATTATCTTTCAGATCTATGGATTAGGGAAGAATTCATGACCAAATAACAGACAGAAAAGAACACAGAAGATGAAATGGACAACTTTGATTATGTAAAATTGCAGTTTTTACACAAATAGATCTAATGAAATTAAAATGAGAAAAGAAACAAATAACTGTGCGAAAATCTTTGTAGCAAGTATCTCTGAAAAAAAGATCTCATATGTAAGCTATGTAAGGACCTGGTTCAAATTTATAAGACTAAGAGTCATTCTGCGATAGAGAAATAAACGGTCAAAAGCTGTGAACAGGCAGTTTCCAAAGGGAGAAATCCAAACTCTCAACCAACTGTGTGAAAAAAAAATGCTCCAAATCTCTATTAGAGAAATGCAAATTAAAGAAACTCTGATGTTCCAGTTCACATCTATAAGACTGACAAAGATGACAAAAGAGAAAAATGACAAATGTTGAAGAAGCTTTGGGAAAATGGGCACACCAATGCACCATTAGTGGGGCTGTGAATTGGTCCAGCCATTTTGGATTGCAATTTAGAACTATGGCCCCCAATGTACTAAACTGTGCATACCCTATGTCACAGAAATACCACTACTAAACCTATACCCCAAAGAGACCAAAGAAAGAGGAAAAGGACCCATATGTACAAAAATATTTATGGCCACTTTTTCATAGTAACCCCAAACTAAGTGGATGCCCATGTACTGGGGAATTATTAAATGAATTATGGTATATGGAATGGAGTATTATAGTGCCACAAAATGGAAAGGCACCAGACCCTCTGAAGGATAGAGAGAGAGAAAGGAACAGAAGAGTTAGATGACTTCCTAATCACACAGTAGTCCTAGTATTAGTGGCGTGCTCCTCTACATGACCTTTCTGATCACCATTACCATGAAGCCTCCCTTCTTCTGCTCTAATTAAGTGAATACTCCAGTTAACAGGCACTCCCTGTTGCTTTCCTCATTCTCTAACACCTATGACTTAGAATCACTGTCTGTGAAGGGTAAACTCCCTTTCCTTTTACCTTCCCATACACCCTCATCCCTATCTCGTTCTTATTCCCTCTATCCCTAGCCAGCTCTATTCCTCCCTAATGTCCATTGTTCTTTGCTTGCCCCTTCCACTATGGCTCTTGAAAATTCCACTCAATTGCTATCAAACTCTCTTCATCTTAGATAATTTTCTCTCTCGTCCTTGATTTTCCTGTGCCTATAGAAATCTGGCTTTCTCCGTATGAGACTTCATCCTGGCCACCCTCTCTAGAAGTAGCGGCTCCTTCTCTCATGCCATGAATGAATGAGAAAGCATTTCTTCAGTACTTACAATGTTCCACACGGTGTGCTACACTCTAGCGGTAAAAACGAAAGCGAGACAGTGTCCGCCCTCAAGGAACCCTCATCCTAATTGGGGAGAAGGCGGGACAAGCCTTGCTCAGCTCTGCCACATTCAGGCCCTGCTCTGCCTCCTGAGTTCCACTCTGTCTGTATCATCTTAAACTAGACCCTTGTTGCTACCATTTACCAGCCTCTGGTCACTTTCCCTTCTTTCTTGTGGGATTTGGTTCAGGCTTCTCCACCCCAACCCCTGTATTCATGGTTGTTGTTCAATCATTTCAGTTGTGTCTGACTCTTCATGACCTCATTTGAGATTTTCTTGGCAGAGATCCTGGAGTGGTTTGCCATTTCCTTCCCCAGCTCATTTTACGGGTGAGAAAACTGAGGCAAAGAGGGTTAAGTGACTTGCCTAGGGTCACATAGCTAGTAAGTCTCTGATGCCAGATTTGAGATTGGGAAGATGAGTCTTCCTGACTGCAGGCCTGGCACCTTATCTACTGCCTTGTGTTCTTGCTAGGGGCCCTAAATGTTAATTCTGAAGTCTCTTCAAATGCTCTGGCCTTCCAGTTCATCAGCCTCCTCAACTCCCATGACCTCCATCTTCACTCTATCTCAGCCACCTAAAGAGTTACCATTACTGCAAACCCTACCACTTCCATGATTCTGAATTCTGAAATTCCTTCCTCTGACCATTACGTGCCATCAGTCCATCTCTTCCTCTGCCTTACTCTTCCTAAAACTAGTCTTTGTCCAACATCACTTTATCTCTTGGAAAAAGCTCTGTCTTATTCATTTCCAGTCATCACTACACTTGGTCCCTTCCCTAGAGTGTTCCCCATGTTCCTTATCAGAAAGGGTTAGGGAAGGAGAGGATAGAGAATATTCCTTCAGTTCCCTTTAAGCCAGCAAGTATGTTATCAAATTTTACATCCTTGGACTTGGGCCAGAGACCTATTTCTTTCACTCCTGTCTGGCAGCCAATTCAACCTCTTGGTCACTAGAACAGATGATACTAAAGGCTTGAGCCTATGAAGCTGAGGCTTCCCACTCTACCTGAGATGACCCTATTAAACCACAGGGCTGCTACGAAGCAAAACCCTGGCTGAGCAACCAGCTGGCCTCTCTCTGTCCTGAATAGCTCCTGAACAAATATATTGTTCTCCATTTATTACTCTGAAACTCTCCTCACAGATTTTTCCCCCAATAGTTTACAAAAATCTTTCTAATTTTTCAAAACTGTCAATTTCTTTTTTCTCAGTTTCTCATCTTATAAAAATTAAAAAGAGCTCTTTATCAAGGGCTCTGGGATTATAATATAAATTAGACAACAGCTTCCTGCCCTTTAGAAGACTATAACATAATTAAAATGAGACAAACTAATCAGCATACATATAAAGACTGTCCCCAGACAATAATCTTGTTATATTTTCAAAGTTTGGCAGTTGCTTAGAAGTTGGAAAACATTTTCTCATAAAATTGTGTTATGAGCAATGCTAAAGTAGTGAAAATACTACTTACATGCAATAAAAAATGATAGAAAACCCTACTAAAAACAGAGAATAACAGTGTATAGTATAGAATACAAGGATCCCATGGTCCTCTGAACACTCTCAGGCAATAATAATTACTCACATTTATTTCTACAGATCTCTAAGGTTTGCAAAACATTTCCGTCACAACAACCCTCAGAAGTAAGATATTGTATCATTATCTCCATTTTACAGATGTGGCTCTGGGAGTTC